GATGACGAGGTTAATTTCGTACATTGTAAATATCTATAACATACTGATATCCAAGTGCAAGATGATCGTATAAAGAAACTGATATAATTGAAATTCGTGATTATATCGAGAAGGTAATAAGAGGTTATGTTACGAATAATAGAAATTTTACGATTTTAAATGGAGATGTGTGTATTATAATTTTTGATTCTTCTGATAGTTTTGTGATTGATGTAAATGTTTCTGCATTGAATATTAATGAATTCTTCAAAGATTTGTTAAAAGTATATACATAAGAATATAATAGAAAATATCTCGACATTCTCCACCACGAAATCGTTACGTGGAATTTTTGATTAAATACACATTTCACAATTGCGCGTTGGATATTCTTATTTCATAATAATTCGAATGTGGATGATACAAAATGTTTCAAATTGATTTTTGAAAGTTTCTACGAAATTGGGTTGCTTTCGATATTGATTCGAGTGTAGTGGATTATCGGTCGATAGTACATCGTTGATTTCGGAAATTTGCCGTTCACAGCGGAAATTAATTCCAGGAACAGTTATGTCCTATTCCAATTTCAAAGATTTTAAACCGTTTCTCTTTTTTCCAGCATTTCTAGCAAATGTTTAACTTTCGATAATAATAAAGGCGCGTTCGGAATTCTCGTTTGACATCGTTTCGATTCAAGAAATGATAATGATTGCAAAGCTACAAAAAGAAATTTCTACTAATTTTTTAACTACGAGAAATAAATCGAATTTATTTATAAAAATAATTATTATTTATTTCCTGATAAAATATACATTTGTTCAAATTTTTTAAATTTACAGCTTCAATTTTCCAAAACTCTTATTTAACTTTTCAAAAGATTCAAATCTGAATTTTTTTTTTTACATCGATCGATAAAATTCTCCATTCGATTCGTGCGAATGATTTTTAATCATTGTCTTTTCGAAAAAAATCGTAACAAAAATTCAGAGAAAACAATAGAACGGAGAAAAAAGAGCGTTACTTTTCTTAAAAAGAAAGAATTCGAAATTGGACATTATGGAGGAGCGTAAAAAACAAAGAAATCCTTAAATTAGTTCGAAGAAAAAACTTTTTTAACTACGAGAAATAAATCTTGATCGAATTTATTCATAAAAATAATTATTATTTATTTCCTGATAAAATATACATTTGTTCAAATTTTTTAAATTTACAGCTTCAATTTTCCAAAACTCTTATTTAACTTTCCAAAAGATTCAAATCTGAATTTTTTTTTTACATCGATCGATAAAATTCTCCATTCGATTCGTGCGAATGATTTTTAATCATTGTCTTTTCGAAAAAAATCGTAACAAAAATTCAGAGAAAACAATAGAACGGAGAAAAAAGAGCGTTACTTTTCTTAAAAAGAAAGAATTCGAAATTGGACATTATGGAGGAGCGTAAAAAACAAAGAAATCCTTAAATTAGTTCGAAGAAAAAAGCTATGGCCCCGTCGGGGATTATTGAAATTCATGGTAGCGTATCGAGACAGGAAATGAAGAATTACGGAACAATCGATCAGCGTCTACCAACTGACCTCTTTAACTGCTTTATCAAGTCGGCTGTAGTCGGATTAACAGTGTAGCGACGCTGGCAGATACGCGGCATGAATCGTACAAGAAGTTCGTTCAATGGAAAACGGCCGCTTCTGTATAATTGAGTTTTGAAATGCTCCAATTGCATAATCAACGACATTCATAAGATCGTTTCTGCGCTTAGAAATTCAATCTTGTTTTAACGCGCTCCACGATTTATCCAATCATTTTTTTTTTTTCTTATTTTCTAATCGTTACTTTAAATTATCGATAATAAATAAATTTTTCTTAAAAGATACGGATTTTTATATTTTATATATATTTTATATATAATATTTTTATATATTATATCTTTGAATTCTTCTTTCGTTGTTCGAAATTAGTCAAACGGTTCGATTTGAATGAAAGTATGCAACGCATTATTTTGATAGTTTAAAATGGATTAATTGACACGGGATAATTTTATTATTTTAATTTTACGGCAGAATAAGTGTAATTATATGGGTAAAACTCGAGTACATAGTTTTCATAGTTTAACATTAACGAAGAGCGAGTATGTAGTACGGTGAAAGTGAGATGAGAAGGCATTAATCCGCGTAACATTGACCTCGTGAGCATCGTGATCAGCCAAATGGATAAAGGAAACGAGGAAAGGAAAGGAAGGAAACACGAGGAATAATAAAAATTTCACGAGATAGGAATAATTAATTTATAGCGGTTTCTTTTTCTTTCCTCTTATGTTCAAACCAAGAGGAATATCGAATATCGAGAGCTTTCTGGTGCTGCTGTGTGAAATCATATTTTCCCGATAGAAATTTCAAATTTAGAATAAATATAAAATATTAAACTTAAAATTGATAAAAATTTCTAGTAATATTGATTATTTAATTAACAATAATTGTATTTGACGGTTTTAGTAATTTTCTTTTTTAATGAAGCAAATTTAATGAAAAGTGGAATGATAACAGCGATATTCGCGTATTGAAATGAACTATATTTGGTTTGATAACGTGAATCTTTCGTTCGAGTCGTACTTTAAGTATTTGAAGAAGAAGAATTAAAGATTTTTGAAATAATTTTTTAAAAATTCTAAATTCAAATTCGAAATAGTGCAATTATACTTAGATTTCAAACATCTAAGACTATCATCGATCGATTATTTCTTGCTAATGATCTATTATTAAAACTATTCCTCGATTCTTCTTTTTATTACCAGTCGCACTTTACAAAAAAAAAAAAAAAAAAATTACATCTCAAAATCTTCCATTGATTCGTTCAGAAACAATGGCCATCCTTATTTATCCATCCATCGATATGTATCAAGAATCAACCAAACTTTCATTATTAAATTCTTTTATTCGCAAGAATCTTAACGATATGAATTGCAATACCTTCTTTTTATCAATTACTTTATTATATATAAATAATAAATTATTACAATAATTATATAGCAGATATAATTATATACACGGAATTAAAATTCACTTTTCAAATTAGAAAAATTATTCTCTTCTACTCATAATAATCCTTTTCACAATTCCTTTTCAGAGAATCGTGTGATGCAACGATAATTATTTTTCGTAATTAATCGACGAATAAAAGTTCAACAGGATCCTCTCAGTTCGATATCGAGCGATAGATCGAACGCTTGTAAAACCTGTTATTAGACGTAGGGCGTAGTCGTATGGCGTAGCGTTACTCCAAGCTCATTTACATCGTCTCGATATCCAATTATCGGTTACTTAAGCAGCTCTCTCGGTCAATGATGAAAGCGCGCGTACACTACTTTATGCCGTATTGTGTAGAAAAGTTTGCGGCTTATCGCTCGCGTGAATGTTCGATCGAGAGATCGGGGAGGGGAGGCGTGCAATGTTATTAATGGAACAATTAGTATCATGGGTGTTAAGATGATATCGGCGGTGTACGCTATGACTCCTTAATCGGCGAACGGATCGGCGTAACGGTGAATGTCAGCCGTACCGATCGTGCGATTCGTTAGGAAGGAAAGTAGCAATCGCACGGTTTACTATCCTGCAACTGACTATAATATCGAGGAAGAAATTAATATTTTTAGAATCGAATGTAAATGAACAGGATTGAAGATATTTGAGGAAATAGAGTTTAAAACGTGTGAGAAATTCGTTAGGAAGGAAAGTAGCAATGTGAATCGCACAGTTTACTATCCTGCTACTATAAAATCGATGAAGGAACCAATATTTTTAATATCGTATCGAATATAAATGTTTGAACAGGATTGAAAATATTTGAGGAAATAGAGTTTCGAACGTGTGAGAAATTCGTTAGGAAATAGTAATGTGAATCGCACGGTTTATTATCCTGCAACTGACTATAATATCAAGGAAGAAACTAATATTTTTAGAATCGAATGTAAATGTTTGAACAGGATTGAAAATATTTGAGGAAATGGAGTTTCGTGTGAGAAATTCGTTAGGAAGTAGCAATGTGTTTACTANCAATATTTTTAGTATCGTATCGAATGTAAATGTTTGAACAGGATTGAAAATATTTGAGGAAATGGAGTTTCGTGTGAGAAATTCGTTAGGAAGTAGCAATATAAATCGTACGGTTTATTATCCTGCAACTATAAAATCGAGGAAAAAACTAATATTTTTAGAATCGTATCGAATGTTTGAACAGGATTGAAAATATTTGAGGAAATAGATTTTAAAACGTGTGAGAAATTCGTTAGGAAGGAAAGTAGCAATGTGAATCACGATTTACTATCCTGCAACTATAAAATCGAGAAAGAAATTAATATTTTTAGAATCGTATCGAATGTTGGGGATGTAAACGTTTGAGCAGGGTTGAAGATAGAGGAGGTTGAAGATCGGGGAAATAAAGTTTCGAACGTGTGAGAAGTTCGTTAAGAAGAAAATGAAATGAATCACTCGGTTTACCATCCTACAACTGACTATAAAATCGAGGAAGGAACCAATATTTTTAGAATCGTATCGAATGTTGGGCATATAAATGTTTAAACAAGGATCGAAGAAATAGAATTTCGTGAGAAATTCTCATCTTAATTCGCGATATGAAATTAAATCGAACCGAGCCAAACTTAAATAAACATGAATCTTAGAAAAATAAAACTTATTTATAAAAATTTAATTCGCAATTACCATATCTATTTAATTTATTTATTATTTTATCTATTTATCTATTTAATTAATAAATTAATAAAAATACATTATCTATTTAATTTACATTTCCCATTAATGTCTAAATATCTTGCGTATTAAAACGATAATAATAATAATTAAATAATAACTATTAAATAATAATAATAATTAAATAATAATAATTAAATAATAATAATTAAATAATAACGTCCCAGTTGTTAAATAAAATGAATTCGAACGGAGAGGAAGCAAAATCTTTTATCGAAATGTTTCATCTAACCTTCCTCCATCTTGTTTTTTTTCCCAGCACGCGAACAACGTACGCAAGTCGGCGGCGGAATACGTGGCGCGGCGTCAGGCGCGCAAGATCTCGATGACACGATCGATGACCTCGTCGCTGGCCGTGCCGATGAGCCAGCTGAGCGACGTGGCCTTCCTGCCGAACGCGAAGGCCGGCACCTTCTTCGCCCGTGACAACGTGTCCAACTTCATCGGTTGGTGCCGCAACAGCTTGGGTATCATCGAGTGCCTGCTATTCGAGACCGACGACCTGATTATGCGCAAGAACGAGCGACACGTGATCCTCTGTTTGCTGGAGGTGGCGAGGCGGGGCGCGAAATTCGGTATGCTGGCGCCGATGCTCGTCCAGATGGAGAGGCAGATAGATAGGGAGATAGCGGCGGAGAATAAGGCGGCGAACGGTGCCCATGGAAATCCCGGAAACGACGAGAGCGACGACGAGTACGCCGATATGCAGCAGGAGGAACCGTGCCTCATATACGGACCCCAGCCACAGATCGTCACCAACGATCTGAAGAGCTTGGACGAGATGGTAAGTTATTTTTCTCCTTTTTCGATTAACAGCTTTTCGATTAACAGTTGTGTGGAAATTTATATATCTGTAATTTTGGGAAATTCGTTGATTATTAAATATTATTAACCCTTTGCACTCCAGGCCTGTTTCGCTCGGTCGAACCAGCAACTCGGACCGCGCGTTCTCATAAGATAATTACTCATAATTATAGAGCTTAGAAATTTATTTGTGAAGCGATATTCTAAAAGAATCAAACACGAATAAATATTGTCGTTGTTCAAGTTCCACAATCCCTGTGACCGAGAGTCACCGTTGGAGAGCAAAGGGTTAAGATTACTAGATTTTATATAAAATATATTTATTACTAGATTTTATATAAAAGAAGAAAGGATACGAGAGTATTATTGGAAGATCAAATTTTGAAAGCAGGTGTAAATGATCTTATTATTTTTATGTATGAGGTTATAGAAGAAGAATGTAACGTACGAAGGGACGGAGGTCTTCCGTCTGTTCGATCCAGATTTCCAGCTCGGTTTCAGATACGTGGATTTGTATTTTTAAAAAGCTGTGGCGCGACTGTAATGTTCCCAGACTATGAAAATAACTCGCACCCTTAGGTATTTATGGCGTTACTCCCCGCTGAATATCACGAGATCAGGAATAAGAGATGATGGTTATTCGTATTCCGGCGTTGAAAGGCAAAAGAATCATCGTGTAATCATCTTTCGTTAAAGATTTTGAAACGTTCTGTAGCACAATTTTTATCTTTATTCCAGTAGATCTGCGCAAATGATTAAAAAGTTAAATTACTAAAAAAAGATAGTAAATTCGCGCAAAAATATTTATTTTAAGAATATTACTTTTATATCCATAAATTCTTCTTCGTTCTATTTTTTTTACTCTCAACGATGCAAATTTTTATTCCAATTTATACAAAAACTTTTCCATAATTTTCCATAATTTTCTAAATCCATTAATATCCATTTTGATTATATAAATTTTCACTCGATACTAGATACCTCTACACGACAATCACGAGATTTCTAATTTCAAATTCAAAGGATCATATATATATATTACCTATGCAAGTATCTACCAGATTTCGAATCACAATGATGTACGATCGTCGCAGGTGGCCTGACGGTTTTCCAAAAAAAGAAAAAAAAAGAAAAGAAAAGAAAAGAAATCCGGTATAGATCTTTGTACACGCGAGGAACGGACGGTTTAAAATGTCGTCTTGATAACTCTCTTCCGCTCGCAACTCGTGGACTCGTAAATCGTGTTAGCATGACACCGAAACGAAAACCGTCTCGCTTCCATCTCGAACCGCGTTTTCCACCGCTAAATGGATTTAAACGGTCACTAAATCAGCCTGGTAAAACGTAACGCGTTCGCGTCACGTGGGCAGAACAAGCGTAATTGCCCGATCTCGAAACCGATTTCGTTCTCGTTACACGCCGATCGTAAATACTTGCGCGCGCATAGCCCTCGTGTCGTGTTACGTGTGGGAATCGGCCGTTCGACTTGTCCACTTTTCCACGCGCTCTACCGCGCTCGGTCACGCGGTGTTAGGGGTTATAGCAGGAATTTCGCGGATAGAAGTTTCCCTGAACGGTCGCTAGAGAGCAATTTATAGCCGCATTGTGACTCACTTGTAATACCGCGGTTAGTTCAAAACTTTAAATATTGGGGACATTATATATCGAACGAATTCTATAGCTTCTATGATCATTTTATATTTTGTTATGCGTACAGAGTCTTTCGTTTTATAAAGTCAAATTAAAGTATTGATTATTGATATTAAATAGGATAAACTTGTGCAAAAATCGACGAATCTCATAATAATCGATTAACGTTCGTATTATTTATTCCTTGTTGTGTATGTAGAAAGAAGATCGATAGATAGATCGGTTGATTTTCAAATATGTTTTACAAAATTCGTTTTATAAAGTCAAATTAAAATATTGATTATTCATATTAAATAGGATAAACTTGTGCAAAAAATCGACGAATCTCATAATAATCGATCAACGTTCGTATTATTTATTCCTTATTGTGTATATAGAAAGAAGATCGGTAGATTTTCAAATATGTTTTACAAAATTCGTTTTATAAAGTCAAATTAAAGTATTGATTATTCATATTAAATAGGATAAACTTGTGCAAAAAATCGACGAATCTCATAATAATCGATCAACGTTCGTATTATTTATTCCTTATTGTGTATATAGAAAGATCGGTAGATAGATCGGTTGATTTTAAGTTCAAATATGTTTTACAAAATTTTGTATCATTTTCTATTTAGTTATTACTTGATAGTAAATTCTATCCTTTCGTTTATTTCTTCTTGTTGTCGATTTGTCGTGATAAATCTGCGTGTTTAGTTATCATATCGTATAATATGTCTATAATTTATATCGCGTGGGAAATAACAAATGATGCAACTTGTTTCTCACGGTTTATAAAAGTAAATTTTCCCCTCCCCGACAATCGGTTGAATTCCGGCTGGAAAATTAAAATGACAAAGCTGGTCCATTTCCCTGCACATCTTTTGTGTAGTTATCCGTGCTATGCGCTTTAGAAACACGCTTAGGCATCCGGGGGATTTAGCCAGGCGTTGTTCGGATGTAGTCGACCTCAGACCACGCTTGCGCCGCTTGAATAGGAAAAGAGCAATCTGCTGATACATCCTCGCAAGAATTCATACACCGGCGCCTCGAGATCTGACGCGTTATGCTTAACGGGTTCCAGATTCGCAAATAACTCGAGGAGAAGAATAACTCGACTTTAAATCCTTTAAATGTGAAAATATATGCATATATGAAACTATTTTAGGAGAGAATTTTATCACTTAACGTGAAGAGATTTTAAAAGAGATATTTTTCTTTTTTTTAAATTTTTTTTTTAGGTTAGGAAAGTTAGAATCAAAATGGTGGTGTATGTAGAAATTAAAAATGGCCGACTTCTCAGTTCTATCTTTTTGGATTGAGAAAAAAGGAACAATAATGTTAGAGTCAAAATGGATGTAAAAAGGATAAATTTCTTTTTAATATTTCCAACTTTTTAGATAAATAGGCATCTAAAACTAATTAGCTTTTATAATCAGATACACGGATATATTAATTAAAGAGAAACATATGATAAAAAGAAACAAATCGTGTATCTATGAAAAAAATTGAACAATTTTAATCTTTATACAAATACAACTTACAATGTATCTTACGTTAGACTTTATTGACTGTCACATTCTTCTTTCACCCCTAAATCTAAATCATTCAATCCTACGCAACTTCAACGCTAGAAACTCAGTCAAACGGCCGTTCAATCACGCGAAACAATAAAATTGACAAGTAAGAAAGAAAAAACGACACTATTAAATTAAACCTCGCATTGTTATTAAAGTTATTCTAGGAGTGTCCGTAAGAATTCCACGATTCACCTTCACCACCAGTGTTCTAGAGGGAAAATGCTCACCGATTCTCAGGACACTGCACAAGGCGGCCGGCGATAACGGGGAATTTTTCGCGCTAGGGAATTTTTTCGCATGGCGGTTCGTTGTTGGACGAGGCTGCGCGAAAAGAATCCGCCGTGTTTTCCAGCGGAACTAACGGCGTCTGGCTGCTTTAACGCCAGACTAAGAGGCTCGGTGTGTTTTCGAAAGCGACAAGAAACGCTGGTTAATTTGGAACGAATATACACGGCCTCGCGCTCGCTTTTCTTTTCCGTTAGATCTAGGAGGCTGTTGTTGGTTCTGTCTGAGATTCGATACATCCTCTCGCGCTCGAGTGGGAGATAATTGGTTGGTGCAGAAAGATTCCACGAAGAACGAAACGCGAATAGAAAGTTTGATACAATCGAATACGATGTTCTAATTGTTACGAATGAATTTAGATGGAGGGGTAATTAAGGTGTAGTAGTTATGAAAATTTGTCTAAATTGTTGTTACGGATTTATTAAAAATTAATTAGTTGGATATAGTTCAGATTGTAAACTGAGAAACAAATTTTGTGTTATTTTAGTATTTTTAATATCCTTTCGTACTCTCTACTTTCTACTTTTGTTATCCCAAGTTAGGTGAAAGAATGGCAAATTTACAATATTTTTTTCCTTTTTCTTCATAGCTTTGCTCTCTAAAAAATTCGCAATATTTAACGCGACTTTCTCGTTAATTTCTCACAAATCGCAACTTAATAAAACGATTAATCTATCACGAAATTTCTTTACTCTTCTTCCTTCCAAACCATATAACGGAACAAAATTTTTCCCGAACATTTATTGGAAAATTTTCGAAAACGTTTCGTCCGCAAACAATTTGCAACAGTTGTTGTCAAGTTGGCACGAATTTGCATTTATAACACAATAATTTGCATTTATAAACGATTTCTTAAGGAACGTATTCTTAAGGAATCACAGCTGCGTTCGTCTATCTCGCGATTTATCCGCATGAATGCAAACAGCATTTCTCCACTGCTGTGTTTCACAAAGGGCGAACGATGAGAGGGAAAATTTGCACGAGTCGATTGGAAAAACACGTGTTTCTGATCGTAAGGTGGAGGACACCGTGATGAATAAGAATAGAATTCGATAAATTCGATAAATGCTACGCGATAATTTTTGTTTTTCCGTCAGCGTGGAATCGTAGTTCGTTGGAAACAATATTTTATTCTATTTTATTTCTAGAAACGAGTTGCATAATTGATAATTTAACATTTTAAGCGGGGAATGTTATTGCTGTTGGATCAGTGGGAAAATTTTTGGCTTTTACGTACCATTGAGGATAGTATTTTGCGAATAAAATATTTTATTCTTCAGTTGAACTTTGAAAACTTGGAATATTAAACGTATGTAAAAATTTAAGGAATGATTAAAGGAAATAAATATAAAAGTTGATAACTCGTTCAAATTATATTTTTCAAGTTACAATTTAATTTAATTTTTGGATTAAATAAAGCGAGATAAGGATATTAGATTTCTTATTGTGGAAGTAAATTAAAAATGAAATGAAATAAACCATATAG